TATTTACGCTTACGTATCATCTCCAGATTACCTCTCATATCTCCTGAGCCTCACTATGGAACACACAGCAAGGGTAGGTAGCTCCATCTTAGTCAGACTTCTTTTTCTATTTTTTCCTTTTTTCCACGGTGCCATCTCTTGCTCAGGCTCTGTGCCATCGTGCTCCCCCTCCGTTCCTGGGCTCCCCAGGCAACCAACATTCCCCAGTCCCTGTTGGCCCCAGACCCTCCCACCAGAGCCCCCCTTCCTGCCGCACCTGCAGGGCCCCCACTGGGGACAGAGCCGGGAGCCTCCGGGCACAGGGCTGGCCTCTGCCCCTCAGTACCCTCAACCACTGCTTAATGACCGGCAGGCAAACCTGGGCTGCAGGGCAGCTACGCGGCATCACCAGACCCTGACGAGAACACACCTGCAAAGCAAAAATCCCATGTTAGATTCCAGCGTATGAAAAAAAACAGCAGGGAAGGAAGCAGAGGAATTCCGTCAGCGTAAGGGACAGGGCAGCAGTCGAGCTCAGGAGCATTCTAGGTGAACAGGTCAGCTCCAAACACAGCACATCCTTTCCGAGCCAGAGCGATCGGAACACTTCAAATCCATAATAAAAGTAATCGATACCATTTTGAGAACACGTTCTTAGCAGAAAAGCGAACGCTCTTGCAGGTGTTGGAAAACGTCTCGTCCCTTGTTTAAAATGGAATGTAAAAAAATAAAGAAGAAATCTCAGTAAGTCACTTCATGCTAGGAAGGCGTGCGTATGCTTATATACATCCAATAAAACCACTTTACTAAACAAGTATTTGATTTTCCTCGTGCATCAGTTTACCTTGCACAGCCGTGAGTCGATACCATTACCCATCTCCACAAAACCGTTATGATTTGACAGGGGGGTGGGGGGGAGGGGACTTTGCGTGTCCCATAATTAGGAGGGACACCGCCCGAGAGAGAAGCTACTGAACTGCCAGGGAAACGCACCGTGGGAAGCGAGACAGAAATAAAGTACTTCGCAGCACTCCATCAGAATATCGGGGGAAAAACCCGCTATTTCAGTTGCCGCTCTTTTTAAACATTTAGGACAAACACCGAACTGCTTCGACACACCTCAAGCAGCGTACGCTACAGCTCGTCGGCCGTTTGTCATGGTTTAACCCCGGCTGGCAACGCAGCCCCACGCAGCCGCTCGCTCGCTGCCCCCGCAATGGGGCAGGGGAGAGAAGCAGAAGTGTAAGAGACTGAAAGCTTGTGGGTTGAGATACAGACAGTTCAGGAGGGAAAGCAAAAGCCACGCGTGCAAGCAAAGCAAGAGACAAGGCTGCTAATGCTTCTTGGGAACGCCTGGAAAACACACGGAGGTGACGCCCATTCGCCCTGCTTTCGCCACGCATCTTCTTTGACCTCGATTGCTTTCAGGGCAGATGCTAGTGTCTCAGTAACGGTTTCGAGCACTCCTACAAAATATTTTTAAATCTTAGTGACCGAGAAAGCATAAAGATTTTATCCTGAAAATTTTAGAAGCAAGGGCACTAAGGAAAGACAAGGAATAATGAAGATATAAATACATCAAATAAAAACCCCAAACAGGATAAAAGGAGACAGAAACTTTGAAAAGCAACAGCAATTAATACGGAAAAAATTTTTTAAAAAGTGACAGTAAAGTAGAATGGAGCTGTAGATCTACAATCTAAAAAGTGATCACACTAAAGAAAGAGAAGAAATAATTACAAATAAAGACAGCACACGGAAAAAAGTAGACACAGAAAAAGTATTTTTAAAGAGTGAGAGGCATTAGGGAAATAAAGGGAAAAATTATGAAATAGGGACAGCAAGCTAAAATGGAGACCTAGGAAGAACATTTTAAAAATGACTGCATTAAGGAAAGACAATAAATAAAACCAGAAAATTTTAAAAGTGAAGGGATTAAGAACAGAGGAAAAAAATAAACATAGGAGACCTAGAAATGCAATTTTCACAAGCAGTGGGGAAGAGAGCAGTGTGGGAAGAAATAAATAATAGCAGGTGGGGAGCCAGAAAGAGAGAGGCACAGAAATGAAACACAGGAGGCGATGTTAAAGGGAGCTATGTAGGGGGTCAAAACAGAAAATAAAAAGCTGTGGGCTACAAGGGTGGTAGAAACACGAGAGGGGGTGGCCAAAACTGGCAGGGGCAGACAGGGTAAATGCCGCCAGTAGGGACTGGCAGGGAAAATGGCACAGGCAGGAAGGGGAAACGCCACCAGCAGAAAGGGGCTGGCAGACACCTCCCCTTCTGCCATTTCCCCTGCCAGCTCCTGCCCACTGGCAGCGCTTCCCCTGCCAGCGCCATTTCCCCAGCCGATACCTGCCCGCTGGCGGTGTTTCCCCTGCCTGCCAGCAGCACCTCTCTCGCCAGCGCTTCCCCGGCCTCCCAGCAGCTTCGTCCACGTACATGCGAGTATTCGTACGTGTAGTGCACGTTGGTGTTTCAGCGCTCTGCCTTCCCAGATATGTAACTCACATACAGGCTGTTCTGTCAAAAACTGCAAGAAAAGCTACTGCAAGGCTCTGAATCGAGGTGACGTTAGCACATCTTTCTTACTAGTAGAGAGAAAGGAAAAGTAGTATTTTGTAATTGCTCCTTGGCTTCCCATGCAGAGACCATAAACCGAGACTACTTTTTCCAATCTAACATAGGTAAGAAGGTGCCAATGCTTGCTGTTTACCTGCTGGCTTCACACCTATGTATGGTTTGCATAGCATGAAAATAAACTGTGCCTAAGGCCGCAACCTTTAAAAAATACTTGAAGTTCCCATAAAACAAATATATTTAAGACAAAACTGCTGCCTAGGATTTTGCTACTGAGGGTTTACCAATAGAAAGGTCTTAGCAACATTTCTGTAACTCAATTTCAAGTTTTCTTCATGTCTTCTCTTAGCACACTAAACACTCCCTCCATTCCCGCTTAGTTTAATAACAAAATATTTCATAAGACAAAAGTATCTTCCATTTGTAGTTGCTGATATTTCTTTGTAAATTTTATAAGAGGAAATTACTGATAATTCAGAAATCTTTTTTCTTCAAGTAGCATATTTGGGTTTTAAATAATGTTTATATTAAGAGATTTATCATCTGATGTCTAAAAATACATCAGACTGCTCAGAGATTCACACTGATTTGTAAGCAAAGACGTGCAATAGCTCTACAGTGAATTAATTCCGCAATAAACCCCCCCACAAGCAAACCTTCCCTCATAGAAATGTGGAGATTTTAATAAAATGGGGGCTCTGTCCCCACCCCAGTTAGGGGCAGCGTCCCCTTCCACAACCCTCCTGAAGCCCAAGGGAGAGAAGCCTTTGCCCAAAGGACCCACAATTTAACACAAGAGGTAGACAGAGCTTCTGTCTACTGCTTCCTTCTAAATGGTCTAAACCAAACACATCTATTTAAATCACGGAATGACTGCATCAGTGGACAAGGGAAAAGCAACAGATGTCATCTATCTGGACTTCTGCAAAGCCTTTGACACGGTCCCCCACAACATCCTTCTCTCTAAATTGGGGAGCTATGGATTCGATGGCTGGACTGTTCGGTGGATAAGAAATTGATTGGATGGTTGCATCCAGAGGGTAGTGGTCAATGGCTTGATGTCCAAATGGAGACTGGTGACAAGTGGTGTACCTCAGGGGTCTGTACTGGGACCAGAGTTATTTAGTATTTTAATCAATGACATAGACAGCAAGATCGAGTGCATCCTCAGCACGTTTGCAGATGACACCAAGCCGAGTGGTGCGGTTGACACACCAGAAGGATGGGATCTCATCCAAAGAGACCTGGACAGGCTGGAGAGGTGGGCCTGTGTAAACCTTATGAGGTTCAACAAGGCCAAGGGCAAGGTCCTGCACCTGGGCCAGGGCAACCAGTATCAATACAGGCTGGGGGATGAAGGATTTGAGAGCAGCCCTGCAGAGAAGGACTTGGGGGTACTGGTGGACAAAAAGCTGGACATGAGCCAACAACGTGTGCTTGCAGCCCAGCAGGCCAACCCTACCCTGGACTGCATCCCCAGCAACGTGGCCAGCGGGGCAAGGGAGGGGATTCTGCCCCTCTGCTCTGCTCTGGTGAGACCTCACCTGGAGCCCTGCGTCCAGCTCTGGAGCCCTCAGCACAAGGAGGACATGGACCTGTTGGAGCAGGGCCAGAGGAGGGCTACTAAAATGATCCGGGGGCTGGAGCCCCTCTGCTCTGAGGCCAGGCTGGGAGAGTTGGGGGTGTTCAGCCTGGAGAAGAGAAGGCTGCGGGCAGAGCTGAGTGTGGCCAGTCAGGGCTTAAAGGGGGCCCATAGGAAAGGTAGGGACAAGCTTTTTAGTAGGGCCAGCTGTGACAGGACAAGGGGTGATGGTTTTAAACTGAAGCAGGGCAGGCTTAGACTAGATCTAAGGAAGAAATTCTTTACAATGAGGGTGGTGAGGCCCCATCCCTGGGAACATTCAAGGCCAGGTTGGATGGGGCTGTGAGCAACCTGATCTGGTTAAAGGTGTCCCTGCTCCCTGCTGGGGGGTTGGGCTGGATGGGCTCTAAAGGTCCCTTCCCACCCGAAATATTCTGTGATTCTATGAAATTATGAGAAGTCGCTGAGTTTCTTTGAAGATGTCTGCATCTATTTCTGCCCAGAAAGGCTTACATTAGTTTCCAAATTAATGTCATCTTGTCACCTGCTCCATGCAGCAAAGCTCTGTGAATTGAACACATAATGATATTGGTCACAGAGCAGAAACACACGCGTACATGATGCTCTTTTCTATATACATACAATGTAGGTTTGTACTCTGACTTCTTCATCAGTGTATTTATTAACCTGCCTTTGTTTCAGCTACCTTCAGTTACACTCTAAGTTACAAATTATCTGCTAAAATTCAATCACAGAACATATTTTACTTTAAAGACATTCTGTTGAAATTGTTTTAAGTTTAAAAGTAAAACTTAAATTTCCTTTCCTTCTAGGATGAATCATTTTAGTCCATATTAAATAATGAACATCCTCAGCTATGACACTCCCACCATGCATGGCCAAACATTTGCACCATTTTACCATGTTGGAAAGCAGCAACTTGCATTCTACAGAGACTCCAAGCAAACTCCAATAAGTTCAGTATAATTAGCTTAATACTACCTAGCATTATATAAAGGACATCTACCTTGCTCCAGGGCTCCCCAAACTGTGACAGTGGCCAGCAAGCCTATCTGATTTCTCACGTTGCTGACTGTGGACCAAAACCCTATCCAGCTGCAATGAGTACAGCTGCTCTCCAACCCTCTTTCCCCCCCTCCCACTACTGCATGCTCTACAACAGAGCCTGCTTATTGCTCTGCAGCAACACGCTTCCTCCACCACACATGAACTCTCCCCACATCACACAATTTTCCAAAGCAGCCAGCCATGAGAAAATGTCTACTCAAGACAAGTGCCTTTTGCTGAACTACATAGCAGCAAAAATTTTCCATGCACAAACTGTGAAATTCTTGAAATGATACTTACAGATTTTGCACCATGACTGATTTATATATTGCTGGCAATTGAAAGATGATGTGAATTTTCCAGCCCTTTTATTGCCAGTTTTAATCAGCTCTAAAGCATCTAAAAAAAAAAATTCTATATCTATATAAAAATATCTATAAAAAATTATGTCCTGGTTTCGGCTGGGATAGAGTTAATTTTCTTCATAGTAGCTAGCCTAGTGCTGTGTTTTGGGTTTAGTACCAGAAGAATGTTGATAACACACTGATGTTTTCAGCTGTTGCCAAGTAGTGCTCAGACTACTCAAGGACTTTTTGAGCTTCTCCTGCTCAGCCAGGTGCATAACAAGCTGGGAGTACAGCACAGCTAGGACAGCTAACCCAAACTGACC